CCCTCCTCTCCCCCCCCAGAAAACGATCTTCAGCACTGGCACACCAGTGGCTGCAGCAACAGTGGCACCTATTCTGGCAACCAACACCATTCCTTCAGCTACCACGGCCGGTAAGTTGGCAGCCCTGCTTTTCCTTCTAAGGAGGTGTGAAGAATGAGTGGTAAGTTAATTTCTCATTTCTCAGCTTCAGTCAGAGAAAAAGAATAGAATGAATTCTCTTTTCCCAGGAGCTTTCCTCGGGTATTTGAGAATCTGTAGTGTGGGTAGAGAGGCCACTGTTGAAGACTTTTTTTCTCCAATTTCAGGATCTGTGTCACACACACAAGCTCCCACGAGTACAATTGTTACCATGACAATGCCCTCACATTCATCCCATGCTACCGCTGTGACCACCTCAAACATCCCAGTTGGTAAGTGTCCTGCAGCCTTCACACAGAGCTTAAAAGGGATTTTTCAGCCCCTCTGACGAGGTCTTCATATCGAGGGCTAGTATTGGGTGTTTTGTTTTTTTTTTAATTATTGTTGATTTTCAAAGCAACACTGAATTCGATTTTTGTATATTTGTCATACAGATTTGGTGTTGACCGTAGTGGGGAAAAGAGGGTAATAATCCTTGAGAGCTGAAAGTAAATGTTATTTTAACACAACTTTGACTCCTCATTCATCAGATTTTACCTCTCCTGTGTGTGCCTTTTAAAGAGAAGTTAACTTCACTGACATAGTTAGATGAGATCCACAGAAAAAGCAAGAAAGAAGCAAGGATCTGGAATGAAGAGAACTTGTACATTGATGGATTGTTCAGGAAAACTCTCTGGGTAGTGCACAGCAGGAAGGGTGATAACCCTCGGGTTGATTACCCTCAGTTCTCATCTGACTGCTACCCCAAGATACTTCACGAACATCCTAAAATTTCTTCTAGGCTTTGTTTATTCCCCTTTTAAATATATGCTTTGAGTATTTTAAAAAAATCTTTGAAAAGTTTCTGGCGGCCAAAGAGTCATAAAGAGCAGGGATTGACAACCTTTCTCTGTAGGGCCAGATAATAAATATTTTAGGCTTTGCAGGCATCATAGGTCCGTGTCACAACTGCTGAGCTGTGGATAATATGTAAACAAATGAGTGTGGTACATTTCAGTAGAACTTTTTATGGACACAGAAATTTGGATTTCATATCATTTTCACGTGTCATGAAATGTTCTTTTGATTTTTTTCCCCCTGGCCATTCCAAAATATGAACCCACATGTAGCTCATGGGCCGTACAGAAACAGGCATCGGGCAGGATTTGCCCACAGTTTGCTGACACCTGTCCTAGGGGCTGTGTCTCATTGTCACAGCTTCCAAAGCAGAGACTGGCTTCTGAGGCAGAATGCTGCTTTCTTTAGTTCACAAGCCCCAGGTTTAGTTTCTGGTATTAGCTTTGCCTTGGTTGTATGACAATAAGCATGCCATCTTACTGTTTACTCCCAGACACATGGGACAGCTGCCATATTTTTCATAAACTTTTAGAAGAGTGTTTTTGTAAGATGACACACTGACATACTTAACTGTCAGAAATCTGGTGACCAGACATAGAAGTATGGCTTCCCCACCTGCTATGTTCCAGCACTGCGGTAGTTCCTTCCTTCCCAAGTAAGACAGCTTCACGTCCCTCTGCGCAAACTTGGAGGACACTTTTCTGGAATGATGGTGGAGTCCAGGAAACCCTCCCTCCTCCCTTAGATAACTCAGCCATGCCCGTCCTTAAATTGGTACTAAGCCCCACGGTAGGCTTCTAGCAGTGAAAACACTGCTGCTGGCTCTTTCTCAGGCTACTGCTCGTGGCAGCTTGGCATCAGAGAGAGCACACTTCTTTCTTACCCCCCTGAGGTGAAGGTGGTTCATTCCCTCCTGTGAAAAGAAGAGTGGGGCAGAGGGTGGGAGTGTGTGATTTTAGCATTGATGAACTTCTGTTGAAAAAGATTGTTGCTTGTTCCCTGTCACTTCACAACATTTTCTAACTATATCTAACAGTGTCATCAGTTATCCTAGCACTGTAACAACAGAACCAGGCTTATTCTTGCCATTTTTATAGTGGAGAGTCTCACTATAGCTAGAGAGAAAATTAGACCTATAAAGGAGGACAGTGTACCCTATAGGGGCTCTCTGGTTTCATCTTGAATCACCTCTGTAAAGAATTATTTAGAGATTAGTTCTTATTTATGTCACTGTGTCTTGCTGGGAGATCACACTGTGGAAGTAAACTCAGAGTACCAGGAGACGGAAGTATGTGCATTCATTTGGCTAAGACTATCAACTTTTTACCAGTCTTAAGTTACAGTATTATATTCCGTATCTCCCAGCTCTTTTATCTTTGATTTTTAACCATTTGCTAAATTCTAGGTGTGAAAATCATTTGACAGAAGTGTCCAAACAGATTTAACATCCGCCACTAAATGTGATAGATTTTATCTAAGTTCCATCAGGCTTATGCACTGGTTTTCTCTTCTTCTTTAATAGTAAGCCAAGTATTTCTTTGTTACGTCACTATAGGATCCCTATACAAAGGTACCTCAGTTGAGAAAGGGTACCTGATATTAACCCTAGAGCACTGATTTTCAAGTGGGGATTTAGTGGATATATTAAAATCACCTAAGCAGCTTTTTCCAGGTGACACTTGCTTTCTCCAAGTGAGGTTAAATATTGAATTCAACCATTTTTTAGTCGGGGAAAAAGCCTGATTAACCATAAGCATAGAGTTTTTGCCTTTAATGAATGCTCATTTCCATTAGAATACCGTCTTTATTTTCTCCATGCTCTGGCCCACATATGACAGTGGTGTCAGAATTCTAAAAAGCAGAATCAGATGATCACAGCATTCAGAAAACAGGGATCATCTTTGGAGGTGGCATTATGTTCAACTTAACAATTTTTGCATTATGTTTTTCCTTAAGTCTTTTTTTTTTTTTTTTGATAATTGACAATGTGTGGCTTTTTTAATTAGAAAAAAGTACAGATATAAATTCATGGGCATGTGTATGGTTTACCAACAAGTAGTTAGCCACTTTGCCAATTGACAGCTGCATTCCTATTGGGAGCATTCTTTTCTCCTACCTTTTATTGGGCACAGTGGAAAAATAAGACTTAGTTGCTTCCCACTCGGCTCCCCCTCTACTTAGTACTGACGGAAGATGTTTCATGGCAGCTTCTCTCTGCCAAGTCACCATCAGTGGTCGAATTGGGCATCCCAGCTATCATCCTGCAGAAACTTCTCCAGCTGCCTCCCTCACGAAATAGCTGGGAATCATGGTGGGCTTGTGCTGCTTACCTTTGGTGTTCAGTGCACTGCACTTTGGGTAATGTGGTGGTGTCATCCTAGTCTCCAGTGTTTATGTGCCTGTCACTGGTGTAACTGGAATCTTACACAGATGGTAGCTCTCCTTCTATATATCTAATGTAGGTTGCAGCTTTTCTTTCCAAATACTCCCTCCTAGAGTTAGCAGAGAGGTCTGTAAGAACACTAAAGTATGTACCAGTTCAGCTGTACCTTCTAAACAAAACTTGATTGCAAATGCTAAAGGAGAGCAAACTTTGAACCTCAGATTAGATTTGAAAACTCTATTGTCATTTTGATTTTGCTATAAAGTATTGTGCAAAATCACAAGACATTCAAAGGATCTTGGAAATAAAGTGATTATCTAAAGAAGGCCTTCCCAGATGAGGAAACTGAGACTTGGAGATTAAAATGATTGATTCGTTACTAATTAGCTATGGATGCTGCAGTAGAAGCTAAGGTCTTTGCCATGTTGGTATTCAAAATTTTGTTGATTTTTTTTATTGTTGTTAAAATTTTTTCTCCTTCTAAAAAAGGTTTCCAGGAAGATAGGTCAGGGAGAAAGGGCCTGATTGCTGGTATTTTTGTTAAAGTATTGATGGTGAACCCTGCTTTGGCAAATAACAGTACGAACATATGAATGTATCGGTAGATTATTGGCTTGAAATAATTCAGTTGAATCTTATGTACTGATCTTTCTTTTTTTATTTTGATTAAAACTAAAGATCCAGGCTTCTTAATACTATTTGCGTTCTTAAGATTGTTGCTGGCCAAAAATGTTTTGGCATGCCAATAAAAGCATATGAGAGGTAATATGATTGGATTTTGCATTTGTAGCTAAGGTGGTGCCTCAGCAGATCACACACACTTCTCCTCGGATCCAGCCTGATTACCCTGCAGAGAGGAGTAGCCTGATTCCCATTTCAGGTCATCGGGCCTCTCCAAATCCTGTGGCCATGGAAACCCGAAGTGATAATAGGTAGGAGGGAATGTGCCAGTTACACTGCCCCATTGTGTCATTAATTGTTTTGATTTTTCAATAACACAAAATGTCCGAGAAATATAGTATATATATAGTTCTTATTTTTCAGATTTCCTCCTGAAAATAATACCGTGTATAATTTATTTTTCATTTTATGAAAATGTGCTATGTTTATTTAGCCATTCTTCTTTTGATGGATGTTCTCCTGGTATCTACTTTTTCATTTGGTGTGTTTCTGTGTTTGATTTATTTTGAGCTGGTTTGAGAGTGTGGTTGCAGCGTCATGACCCTTTATCCCTAAGTACTTTCATTTTCATCCCGAAAGAACAAAGACCTTCTCGTAACCACAGTGCAGTTATCCAAAATGATTCTTTAGCCTTCCATTCCCTTTCATACAGTGACATTTTTGAAGAGTATAGATAGGCCAGTTGTTTTTGTAGAATACTCTTCAGCTTAGGCTTGTTAGATTGTTTTCTCAAAGTCAGATTCAGGTTATGCATTTTTAGAGCAAATACCACTTAGGTGATGCAATCTTCTCACAGTTACTACATCAGAGAGCTCATGCCGCCCCTATGTCTCATTGTTAGCCCTGTCAGCACTAATTACCTAGTAAAGGTGATGTTTGCCAGATTTTTCTATAAAGGTATATTTTTTCCTTTTTTTTTAAATTTTAAAGATTTTATTTGAGAGAGAGAATGAGCAGGGGGAAGGGGAAGAGGGAGAATGAGAAGCAGGCTCCCCACTGAACAGGGAGCCCAATGTGGGGCTCGATCCCAGGACCCTGGAATCATGACCCGAGCCAAAGGCAGACGCTTAACCGACTGAGCCACCCAGGTGCCCCTATTTTTCTCCTTTGTAAACCACTAATCTGTGTGAAAATACTTGGAGCCTATAAATACCCTGTTCGTCAATAAACTTTCACTCAGTGGCATTAGCATCTGTTGAGGATTCTTGGCTGTATCAGTTGATGGTTGCAGTATGATGGTTGCAAGATAATGACTTTTTCTACCATTTCTTCCATGTTTATCAGTTGACATGTTTATGTAAATAAATTTTACCTATCCCCATTTATTTTGTTGTATATTTTATTTTTTTAAATGAGCATGGACTCATGGATTTAGTTTATTCATTATTATAATTCATGATTGTCTTCTGTTTTGATGCTCAGATCGTCTCTGGAAGCTTCTTCAGACCAGTTCCTGTGGGTTTTCCATGTCCCATACAGTCTACCCCTTCCTTACTTCCCACCACAACAAAATATTCCAGGTTTCTCCTGAATATTGTTTGAGCCCTGGAAGCTACCATTTCTCCAGGGAGCCCTGGTTCCTTTTCATCATTTAGAAACCAGAGCATTAGCTCTGTTTATTGCTACTTGATTGTCATTTCTTCCAGGCTCTTTTAGCTGACAGAAATAGGAAGCATGTGATGTCATAAAAACTCTTCAGGGGCGCAGGGTTGGCTCAGTCAGTGAAGCATCTGACTGTTGGTTTCAGCTCAGGTCATGATCTCAGGGTTGTGGGATTGAGCCCCTGCCGATCAAACTACATGCTGAGTGGGGTGCCTGCTTGAGATTCTCTTCCTCTCCCTTTGCCCCTACCCCAGTTCGCTCTCTCACTCTTTTGTAAAATAAATCTTTAAAAAAACAACAACTCTTTAGTACATGCTGATCCTTCTAGTTCAACCCCATTACCTCCCCCATTCCATATTTGTATCTCTTCTCTCCCAGTGAGAATCTGGTACAGTGCATATGAAGTAGTTTCAGAATTGGATCATTTTTAAATGTTCTTGTTTGAGTATTATGGTGTGTAGGAATGCTTATAGGTTTTAATATATTGATCTTTCTGTCCATTCACCTTGCTGAACACACCTGTTAGCCCTAAAAGTTTGTAGATTCTCTTGGATTTCCTATGTAGGTTTTTATTTTGTCTACAAATAAGACAATTTTTTGAAGGATGAGGGATTTTTTTCATTTCTATTTTTCATACCTGTGTTTCTCTTGTTACCTGGAGCTTCCAGTATGATGTTGAATAGAGGAGAGATAGTGAACAGTCTTATCTTATTCCTGACCTAAATGGGAATTCTTGGGAAATTTCAGAATAGATTTTGGTAGATGCTGTTTTCAGATTGAGGAACAAAGATTTTTTCCATTCCTCTTTTTCAGTTATTTATATCATGAGTAAGTATTGAATGCTATAAAAATTTGGAGGGGGAAGTAATTTTTTTTTAATCCTAATATAGCTAACCTATAGTATTATGTCTCTATTAAATATTTTTGTATATCTTTTGTGATATTTCAAATGATTGTTCTCTTAATTTTTTAAAGAATCTAAAACATTCATAGAAATTTTGATATTGAATCATTCTTCCTGTGGTAAACCTTATTTGATCATAATATATTTTGTTTTATACAGTATTTAATTCCATTTTATTTAGTAATTTTTGTGTTGATGCAGAGAATGAGATTTGTTTATAATCTTTTCTCCTATTCTCCCTATCTAGTTTTGGTGTCAAGGCTATGTTAAGTTTGGTCTTGTTTCTTCTTTTTTTGGTTTCTGAATCAGTTTGTATAAGTTTGGGATTATCTATTTTACTTGTATTTGATAAGATTTGCCAGTGTAAACTTAAAGTCTTTCAAGTGGAATTGAGCAGAGAAAACCTTTGATTACTGAGGTTTTTTACATTGGTTTTGGTAATTGTTACTACATATTTTTATGTTTATGGATGTATTGATAGTACCCATTTATTTTTACAAATATTACTCTCTCTAGGTGTGTGTCCTTTGATCTAACAGTTTATTTGGGACACAATTGGGGAAATGTTGGTATAGCATATAAGGGTATGAAGACGATCTGGGGGGATAGGATCATTTGAAAGTGAAGAAGAAAGTAGACCCATTTTGGTTCATATTATCTGTCTTCTATCTGTAGACCGTCTGTTCCTGTTCAGTTCCAGTACTTTTTGCCAACATACCCACCTTCTGCATACCCACTGGCTGCACACACATACACCCCAATCACCAGCTCCGTATCCACCATCCGACAGTATCCAGGTATGAGCCTTGCTGTTAAGAGGACTTTTAACATTCCAGTTTTTGCAAGCAATGAGATCAGAATTGACCAGTGAGTATTTGTAGTGTGGATTTAATTATTCCACCTTCAAACTTCAGGTTCACATAAGGCTAAAATCTGAAGCTTTAAGGTTTTAGATCACATCTCTGTGATCTATAAAAAGGTTGCTACTTATTAGTATATTTGTATGATTTTATCCCACCCTGAAGATAATTATGTTAACAATTTGTTATACCTTAAAATGGCAGTACAGTTAAAATGGTAAAATCCATACTTTTATGGGGCTTCTGTTGTTTTGTGGATATCTGTTGTGTTTTTAGTATTAGTCCAGTTATGCTCAACACTTAACCATCCTGACTTGTAAATAATGTTCTTTTTGCCAATCCAGAAAAAAAATCCTTAATCCTCAGGGTTTGTGTTTTCTTTTCCTATGAGACCCTCAGCTCACTTGAGGCAAAAGAGAGCCTAATTGTCCAGATTTTGGGCGTTGCCCTTCTGTGCGAAACAGGACTGCAGCCAGGGCTCCGTGGAGCCATTGAGCACTTGAAGGGGGACCCGACGCAAATGAATAACTGATTTTTTTTTGTTTTACTTAATTAAAATAAGAGAAATTTTTAGTATGTTTGGAACAACTTAGTGATATGCAACTACTGTTTCAAAATTGTAGATTATATTGAGTCAAAATACAAATAAAATATTTCTGATAAAAACTGAACTCAGTATCTGATTTGAAACATGTTTTATTAGTAAAATATACCCTGAATTTTGAAAATAACAGTATGGAAAAGAGAATGTAAAGTATCTTACTATTCATTTTTATAATGATTGTATTTTGAAATTTTAATGTTTAGGATATACTGGGTTAAACAAAGTATATCATTAAAATTAATTTGGCATGCTTTTTACTTTATTTTTTATTTATTTTTTTTAAGATTTTATTTATTTATTTGACAGAGAGAGAGACAGTGAGGAGGGAACACAAGCAGGGGGAGTGGGAGAGGGAGAAGCAGGCTTCCTGCGTAGCAGGGAGCCCGATGCGGGGCTCGATCCCAGGACCCTGGGTCATGACCTGAGCCGAAGGCAGACGCTTAACAACTGAGCCACCCAGGCGCCCCGCTTTTTACTTTATTAATATGGCTACTGGAAAATTTACAATTGCATGTATGACTTATATTTCCATTGGACAACGTTGGTCTAAAACGTCCAAATTCTAAGTTATTTAAATAGCTTTGGAAACAGGTTCCTCAATCACTGCATTGGGTTTTTTTTTTCCCCATAAAACTTTCCCCAAGGTTTATGTATTCTTTTTTTTTTTTTTTTTGAAGATTTATTTACTTACTTGAGAGAGAGCACACAAGGGGTAGGGGCGGGGGGGAGAGAGAGAGTCTCAAGCAGACTCCGCGCTGAGCATGGAGCCAGACACGGGGTTTCTCACAACCCTGAGATCATGACCTGAGCCGAAACCAAGAGTCAGATGCTTAACCAACTATGCGACCCGGGCGCGCCTCTCCAAGGTTTATTTTAATGTGGGGAAGTAGCTGATGAATTGTTCTGAGTTTTTTGTCCTGTTTTGCTGTACATCAAAGTAATAACATCTTTTTAAAGGAAACTTATAACTGTTCTTTATTAACAATCCTATGAAGATAAAACCATGTTTAATTATGGTCAGAAGTAGAGGATGCAAAAAGTATGGTAGAACCATGTTGACAATTAAGAAGTAAATTTCGTGTGTTTGTTACACTAATTGCTGAAAATTCTTAAGTCTCTTAGTAACAGCACTTCCTTCAGGTTCCTTCATCTACCTCCGCCAGTTGATACTTCTATAACAATGCAGTCATGTTGCCTTTCTGGGGTAGGTAACTCATGACCAATATGTATTTCTCTCAATGCTATCCAACTGAAAAGGACCTGCAGAGGCTCTCTTGAGCTAGAACAATCTATGCAGACACTATCATTTTAGATAAACATTTATTTGTAAAAATGCATTGTAAGAGCACTGTCAGAAGTATTGGGGATCCTGCCAGCCATCTGTTTCTCTACATTATTATTTTTCCAAGTGTCTTCTTTCACCACTGCAGTAGTCCTGATGGATAGAAACACAGAAAAATGAATAGTCCAGTTAACAGCAATTTATTTCTTCCAATACCAATACGTCCCTTTTTGGTGCAGATGACGGGTAATGTGTTATTTCTCAGACATGCATGGATGGACACAACTGAAGGAATGATTTATTAATCAGCTTACAGTGTCCTGTTTTCAAGTGGCTCCTTTTAAATGATATTAAAGCAGATGTTTTCAAATCAGGAAGAGGACAGGGAAATTTGTATATAATGGGCCAAATGTGAGATTACTGTAATACATAATTTATGATAGATTAGACCAATTGTTCATGGGCTCTGGTTACTTATAAAGATGGAATCTTGTTGGTTCATTAGGTATTAGATATAGATATAAACATGTAATTATGAATATATATACGTAATTTTTATAGTTCGCAAGCAATTGATCCCTCTCAGATTGCTCCTGAAATTTCACTTGCTCCAGAGATGTTTTCCACTTCATTTATTTATTCATGCATTTTTTTTTTTTAAGATTTTATTTATTTATTTGAAAGAGAGAGAGCACGAGCAGGGGGAAGGGCAGAGGGAGAGGCAGACACAGACTCTCTGCTGAGAGCCGACACACAATGTGAGGCTCAATCCCAGGACCCTGGGATCATGACCTGAGCCCAAGGCAGATGCTTAACGACTGAGCCACCCAGGTGCCCTCATTCATGCATTTATTAATTTCATATTTATTGAAACCCTGTTATTGTATGTAAGGTCCTATGTTAGGCTCTATTTGTTTTTTGTTTTGTTTTGTTTTTTGGGTTTTTTTAAAGATTTTATTTATTTGACAGAGATAGAGCAGCAGGCAGAGGGAGAGGGAGAAGCAGGCTCTCCGCCAAGCAGGGAGCTGGACATGGGGCTCGATCCCAGGACCCCTGGGATCATGACCTGAGCCAAAGGCAGCCACTTAACCGACTGAACCACCCAGGCGCCCCTGTTAGGCTCTATTTGTAAAGTTGACTCTTAAAACAGTTCACTTTGAACAAACTTAGAGCCTCATAGGGAGATAAGACACGAAGAGCTCTTACTAGAGAGAAAGTGCCAAGTTCCAATAAAAGAAACTTGAACAAAGCCAGCCTACTTCTGAGCTAAAAGAGGTTATTTCTACTTGAGAGGGTAGGATTGGAGGTCAGGAGTGACTTCCTAAAGGAAGTGACATTTGGAAAGCCTCTTAGAATGCCCAGGACAGAACCACAGGGCGGCATTGGGGGAAAGCACTTTTCTCTGTGTGAATAAAGTATTAACACAGAATATGCGCTCAGAACAGAGTGGTTTGGTTTTGGCAGGAATGTAGTGTGAGTGAGGATGCAGCACATGGAATGAGATTGGATCTTGAGAGGCTTGGGGTGGTGACTAGACTGCATGTTCAGTCAGGTGCCCACAACTGTTACTGAACAGAAACAAAGGTTCGTCCACTTCTCAGGAAGAAGCTAATAGCTTTGTCGGGTTGATTCTTTTTTTTCTTTTTCTCTCTTTCTTTTACAAGGGAAGAATTGCAATGTAGCAGTAACTATGAATTTACATGTACTAATATTTTGCTGTATTTTTCTCATTGATAATAATAATTTACCTTTTTAAACCACTATATGGTTTATAAAACTTAAATTACATCATTGTTTCCCCTTTTTTTAATTGAGATATCATTAACATGACATATTAGTTTTAGGTGGACAACGTAATGATTCGGTATTTGTGTATATCATGAAATGATCACCATAATAAGTCTAGTTAACATCCGTCACCACAGATAAGTTACAAATTGTTTTATCTTCTGATGAAAACTTAGAGATTTGTCTTCTTAGCAACTTTGAGATATCCAATATAGTATTATTAACCATGGTCACCATGCTGTACAGTACATCCCCAAGTCTTGTTTATTTTATAACTGACAGTGTGTACCTTTGACCCCCTTCACCCATGTCTCACATCCCCCATTCCCTGTTTCTGGCAACCACCAGTCTGTTCTTTGTATCTATGAACTTGGTTTGTTTATGTTTGTTTTTAAATTCTACATATAAGTGAGATCATATGGGTTTTTTTCTGTCCTTGTCTGGCTTATTTCACTTAGCATAATACCCTCAGGGTCCATCCATGTTGGCGCAGGTGGCAAGATTTAATTCTTTTTTAAGGCTAAGTAATACTCTCCCCTGTGTGTATGTGTGTGTTTGTGTGTATAGAGATAAATGTCACATTTTCTCTATCCCTTTATCCATCAGTGGACCCTTAGGGTTGTTTCCATATCTTTGTTATTGTAAATAACATTTCAGTGCATATGGGGTGCGTATATCTTTTTCTGGATTGTTTTGATGACTGAGAAGAAACATGATTTGTATTCTTCTTTCCACAAATAGAAATTCCTTCTCTTTTGCTTCCTGGGAATGCTGCTGTTTTCAGTTTTGTTGTTGTTAGTTTTTTTTACTATACACAGCAAAAAAGGAAACTTGCTTGTTCTCTCTCTTTAGCGCATATATGGAATTTAAAATTCATAGCTACTGTATATCAAAAATGCCTGTGATGGTGGTTCCATCAATTAGAGCAAAGATTCTTGACCTGGGAGCCATGGATGGATCTCAGAAGTTTTAATTATTTAGGACAGTTGCCTGGCTCACATTTGGAATTTAATAGATGATTTCCTTTTTCTTGTTTTAATGCTTTTCTAGTAATCTGCAGCAAGATCATATCACACTGATAGGAAGTGAGGGAAAAAACTCCAATATATAGAGAGCTTTATGTAGTGCTTTGTTTAAAAAAAAAAAAAAAAAGGTTTTATGGGGCTCCTGGGTGGCGTAGTCTGTTCGGCATCAAACTCTTGGTTTCGGCTCAGGTCATGATCCTGGAGTCCCTGGATCGAG